GCTCCTATGTAGTTATAAATAACGAATTCTAAGGCAACGCAAATATTAAGGTTAAGAGGCTGAGTTCGTAGATGATGATAAAATAACATAGTTATGTATAATGTATTACATTTCTGATTGTATATCCCTGTAATTAATACACACTGTAGCTTTAAACAATTTGCAAAATAACCATAATTTGCAGCCCTAATTTGATCATGATTTGATTAGATTTTTTTGAATTTAGTGAATCACTAAGTGTGATTTGGAAAATGTAATAATATGGAACATTCTAATTTCTAGTTTTTTAGCGAGTCAAGTATTGTGGTATTTATCACTGGCAAACTCCAAATAATAAATCTTTAAAATCTGATGATTTTGGACAGAATCATTAGAAAACTGTGAACTAACATGCATTTGTTTTAAGAGACGGAAAACAATCAGCTAATTCTTTCTATCTTGTTTGTAACACTGTTTCTTTTTTCCTAACAATTAACTGTAATATTACTACAAAGTACAAGATTTTGTACAACACCCCACTTTCAAAATGAGTCTTATCGGCCTACCTTGAGTTCCTCACCCACGTTCTCTCCATTCATCTCCGGGTCACAATCTTTACTCACTGCAGCAGCAACGTCCACCTCTCCCTAATCGGTTCTTTGAAAGAACGTGTTTATTTTGGGACGTTTTTCCCATCCTTTCAGCAGCTCTTATTTGCTTTTACTTTTCTGGAATCCGCATTAGTACCTCAGTCTGGTATCCACCGTCGCTAACACATTGTACGTAACGGTTATGGTTTTACTCTAAGCTCTGGATTACCCATAATTCCAAGTCGTAATGTTAAAGTTAAAATACTCAAATACATCGTTCTTTTAAGATCTTTATTGCAGTTTGAAATATATTATGTGAATGTATTTTTTACCAACCGTCTGATGAACTATACACAGTTATTAAAATAGTAATTAAAAGCACCACTGACTGCTTTGCTATTGGTGTCGTGTTTAAACAGCTTACCATCATGTTGAAATCTGCCATGTGTTGATGTATAAATAAGGTTTGGTCAGTCTATTTGGTGTCAGGTGGGTTTAAGAGGAATTTTTTGCACCATTACATCTGCAAAGAGACGTCCTAGTCCACAGTTGCGTAGGGGGCCAACCAGGTGTCAGTGACGGGGCCCCTAAGAGGTCGGGGGCCCCTAAGCAATTTCAGTCTCTGCTTACTGATAGTTATGCTATTGTTTCTGACCTGTTTCATACATGAAGATAACTTGCATACCCTATTCTAGTGGGACCTCTTAGCAGAATAAAAATGCATTCTTTAAAAATCTTTGCTAATGGTTGTTGTGTCTTTAATATAAAAAATCTAATCACCAAAAAACTTGGATCACTATAGATACGTTTAATAAATAAAACACAAAACGTGACAAAAGGCAGCTGGTATAGGAAACAGCACCTGCCTCATTCCAAGAGTGCAAAGGTGCCAGTTTCCAAATATGGTGTGGGCCTGCCATGTGGTCAGTCTCTGCCCCTTTCTGTTTTGCAGCAAGGTGCACTTAGATATACTTTTTATATTTCCAGTGAGGCAATATGATTTTTTTTTAGTTCAGATTTGCTTTAAGACGTGAGAAATCCCCTTTATTGTTGCTATTCTGAAACTACTAAGGCTCTCTGAGACCAGCTAATGTGAATTTATAATAAGATACAAAATAAAATAATAAGATACAAAATAAAATATAATGTAGGTTATTTTCAGGTATTAACGTGTAACAAAAAATCTGAACTGCCTTAAGGATAGGAAACAGAGAGACATGTGATATTTGATTGCCTTTTAATTGACTTATGGTAGATGGATTTATTTTTGCATGGCCAACCAAGATTCAGATTCAGGAGGTCATGCAGCAAACATTTTAGATGAAAGCTGTGTAAATATAGATCCACACCCAGTGAATCATAATCCAACAATAATCCCAATTTAATTCCATTAGTTTCAGAGGAGATGTGTTAATCTCTAGGTAACTCTCCTTGTTTCTGGTTTCAAGGTCTTTAAAAAACTGGTAACATTACCTCGCTGACAGAAAAACACCCCAAACATGTTTTCAGACACCAAACTGCCTTTTTTTCTAACCCTATAATAACAACAAATTACACATGCAGCATGCAGTCTCACAGGATCAATTAAAACCAAATTAACATTGGTCATATGCAACCTAATCCAGCTGCAATATACTGTCCAAATCCTGCTGGGGATCATTAGTAATCATTTCACTGAGCTGGAGGCAGAGCGGCATCCATACATCCACAGACACAGCAATTTATCACCAGGCATGCCCTGCAGGCGTTAATCAATCCCACCAACCCAGATCAGACTGTTCAATAGGTGCATGTGCACATCAATCAACCAATGCTCTATGTCTTAATTGCTTAAATCTCTTGTTAAAATCCCTTGAGCCACATGTGAGGTGAGATGCTTAAGGATGAAGGACAGTATGATGGTTTGGGCCCATAATGTCCTGCAGAAACAGCTCAGATGTGATAATTAGGAATAAAAAAAAACATTGCTAGAAGATAGAGAATAAAACAGAGAGAGAGGCAGTTTGGTTTGTGTTTATTATGAACAGGTGATTTCTCATGTGAGTTTTCTGATTCAATTCAACTTATCCAGGTTTTCCTCGGGTGAGTTATGAAAAAAAATAATTCCAATAGCAGAATCAAAGTCTCAGTTATTTATTTATACGGGTTGTATGTATGTGGTTGGCAGTAAAACCGCAGAAAGATGCAAGTTTGTGTGAAAGATGGAGTAAACATGGCAGCGTTTGTTCATCTGCGCGCATCCATCCACCGCATTCTCTCTCAGTCACACACTTACGTCTCTGAAGCGATTCCAGTGCTTGATCTTGCGGCTGTACTGTGAAATGGTGGACAGCCACTGCTCGTCCTCCATGAAATTCCCGGATTTTTCCGCCTCTCTGACACTCTTCACGTCCGCCTGGATGGTGGAGCCCGCAAACATCAGCAGCGGGATGAGAACGCACACTATGTCCGACATTTCCAGCATGGTTGACCGGAGAGGTGGGGGGAAAAAACGCGCACAGAAAGACTCCCCGGCGCACTTGAAAACGCCGTCTGTCGGCTTTCCTCTTGTGAGGCGGTGGAGGATGAGACTGGGTGGAAAGTGCCACCTGATCCGCCTGTAAGATGCTCCTTCAGATGGGAGGGAGGCAGACTGAGTGAGGGAGGGAGCTGTTTGATGGTGCCATGTAAAGTCAGTCCCCCCTCAGGCTGCTGTGAGACATGTTTGCAAACTGTTAAACAATTTTAAAAACACGTTTTTATTTCTATAATTCCTTACAAGTAAACATATCAAAAGTAGAAGTATTTTTATGCAGCTCCCTTTGCCTTTTTAAACCTCCCTTCACTGCAGTTATAAATGCAAGAAATGGGACATTTCCAAATCAAATCAAATTTATTTATATAGTATATTTAAGAACAAACTCTGTTGGTGGAAGTGCATAAAAACAACTAACAGTAAGAGAAAATACAGGCACAATAATTGGAGATTAATATCCAATTAGTGACTACTATGTTATAAGGAGTTACTTTGAAAAATACAAAGAATTGAAGCCTGTTTAAAAAGAAATGTGAGCTGGTCCCAAATTTGTTAGGAATCCAATTTCTGTGGTTGTTTGTGTGTTTTTCTCTCTCCACCACTGGTGGTGCCCTGTCCTCGTTGGGCCTCCCTGCACACCCGCGGCTCGTTGGATCATTACTGGAGGAGTATTTGAGCAGTGGGCTGTCACTACCTCGATGCCAGAGTGTTTGCCAGTTTTGTGTACTCTAGCCAAGCTGAGATTAGCTGAGTCTAACCTAAGCTTTGTTTCTCTGAGTCTTATCGTCTTTGCTCTTCGGTAGGAAGCCTTCCTGAGTAGCTGGATACCTGGACCTTCTCCCCCTGGAAGGATTAACCGAGTACACACTGAGCAGGGGAAAACCTCCACATGATCCGTTCAAGTCCTCTTCGGAAATCCAAGTGACAGTCCACTCCTTTACTCCTCTGGGTCCAA